ATAAATATATATATATATATATATATTTATATTTATATTTATATTTATATATATATGTATAAGATATATTTTATGCATTGTATATATAAAATCACAACTTAGCTGAGTATAGAGGAGACATAATATTTTAAATATATATATACACCTATATTTATATAAATAGATAAGTAAATATATATATATATATATATGTATATATATATATATATATATAGGATTGTCTCTAACACACTTTTATATATTATAGATGATGCCTTACCTATAATCCTTCGTACATATATTACATATATAGATATATATATATATATATATATATATTTATATTATAAATTATATACAATAAACTATATATTATATATTAAATAACACACCTATATTAGATAAGACATCATATATAATGTATGTAATACTATATATATATATTATATGTTATACATATATACATATAGATATACATAAATATAAATATATAATAAATTGTATTTTATATATATTAAATAACACATCTGTTTTAAATATATTTTTATATTGTATGTAATATTTTGTACATATTATAAAGAAAATAAATTATATATTAATTATTATATCACACGCCTATGCTTTATATTGTATATGTATATAATACTCTATATATATATGTCTATATTATATATTATAAATTATATATTATTTATTAAATGCTGTATAATATACAGTGCTTACTCTAAACTTTATTATGTATGCTTTATATTCTTGTCTTTGCTTCGCTGCTGCACTTGGGTGTAAACCCTAAACCCTAAACCCTAAACCCTGAGCCCTAAACCCTCAACTCTAAACCCTAAACTCTAAACTATAAGCCTGTAATTATAAATTCTAATTTATTGATGTTAAAATATATTTCTGAAGCAAGTGTGTAATGCAAGCCGTACACACCAAACCCTAAACCCTAAACCCTAAACCCTAAACCCTCAAACAAAACAGCAGCTTTGTAATTGAGTTATCTCCCCAGTTACGGAGGGACTGAAGTAGAAACAATTTAAGAAAGTTAAGTATCATTTCGTTAAGCTAGTTGGTCTAGGGATTAGGGTTTAGGGTTTAGGGTTTAGGGTTTAGGGTTTAGGGTTTGGCATCGAGTCACATGCACAGTGGGGCCGAGAAGAGCTACATTTATGTTGTTGAGAGGGCCTCAGACATCTTCTTTAATTCTTCTTGTATTATATTTAAAATTGAAGAATAAGAGTGCTGTGTTGCTTTACCTAAACCCTAAACCCTAAACCCTAAACCCTAGCACTGCCGTGTCCTCCAAGGCGGCAGTACCCAGCCCCTCCATTTGCTATCTTCTTTGCTTAATTCTTATGAAGCGCCTCTCAGACAAACCCTAAACCCTAAACCCTAAACCCTAAACCCTAAAACAGCGTTCACCTGTTGCTGCTGTCGCGCAGCTTCCCCCACAGGCGGCCTTTTGTGCACAGCTGAGACTAGGGTTTAGGGTTTAGGGTTTAGGGTTTAGGGTTTGCAAACCCTCATCAGCTACAATGCCACGCAAGCAAAGAGCATTATCTTCAGCCCGTAGAAATGTTAAAGCGGCTTCCCATGCAGCAGCAGCAGCAGCAGCAGCTGCAGCAGCAAAAGAAGATGCAGCGCAGCGAGACAGCAACAACACCTGCAGCAAACTATGCCGCAGCGGCAGCGAGGATGCTGCTGTTGCTGCTGCTGGAGGCAGCAGCAACAGCAACAGCAACAGCAACAACAGCAGCAGCAGCAACAGCAACAGCAGCAGCAGCAGCGCAGCAGAAGCAGCACATTTTAAGGCTCTTCTTCAGGCTCTAGAAGGCGTAGCAGCAGAAAGAAAAAGACGAAGCAGACGAGTAGATTCACAAGAGTTGCTGCTGCAGTTTATGCATCATATATCTTCACCTGCAATGGAAGAGCTGCAGCGGCAGCAGCAGCAGCAGCTGCTGCTGCAGCAGCAGCAAGGAGAGCAGCTCGAAATAAACAGCAGCAGCAATGAATTGTCTCTTCTGCGAGGTGCTAAGTGGCATGAAGCAGCATGGGTCTCCTTGCTGCAGCAAGCACTGCAGCAGCCAGCAGCAGCAACAGCAACAACAGAAGATACACCTGAAGCAGCAGAAGGCGCAGCAGCAGCAGCAGCAGCAGAAGTAGGAGCGGATGCAGCGGACTGCAGCAAGGCTGAAGACGGCGAGGCAGCCTGGCTGGCGCAGCAGCAGCAGCAACAACAGCAGCAACAGCAGCAGCAGGAGGCAGAGCAGCAGCAAGAGCGTGTAGCAGAAGTAGGAGTGATGTTTGCAGCGCAGCAGCAGCAGATGTATCTCTCGCTGCTGCTGCTGCAGCAGCCCGATTGGGTGCCCGGTGCTTTTGCTGCTCTTGATGATTTGCTGCCTCTTGCTACAGAGGAGAGTCCTGTATTAGCAGCAGCAGCAGCAGCAGATGCAGCAGCTGCTGCAGCAACCCCACAGCAGCAGCAGCAGCAGCAGCAGCAACTCGGGGCATTTGTTGCAGCAACAGAAGCAGAAGCTGCTTCTCTGCGAGAAAAATACTTCAAGACAGTATTTGATGTAGCAGGTAAAATAAAGTAAATAAATATATTTAAATAAAATAAATAAAGTAAATAAAATAAATAAAGTAAATATATATATATATTAAAT